TCATGGCCGCCGTCTCCCTCTCCATGTACCGCATCAACAACACCCACGGCCACCTCGCCATGTTCATAACCTTTTCCTCCATCAACGCAATCTACACATGTAAGCCCTCCTCTTCCTCATGCCATCGCCGGCCGTACGTATACTAACCAAATCCCAGCAATCTGGGACCTCTTCATGGACTTCTCCCTCCTCCAACCCCAATCCCGGCACTGGCTCCTCCGCGACATCACGGCCCTCAAGAAACGCTGGCCCTACTACTTCATCATGGTCATCGACCCCATCCTCCGCTTCGCCTGGATTTTTTACGCAATCTTCACCCACGACACGCAACACTCCACCATCGTCTCCTTCCTCGTCGCCATGGCCGAGGTCTCCCGCCGCGGCATGTGGACTCTCTTCCGCGTCGAAAACGAACACTGCGCAAACGTCGCGCAATATAAAGCCTCCCGCGACGTTCCCCTCCCCTATCGCATCGAACCCCTCGTCGCGCCCCGGTCTTCGATTGAAAGCGACGCTGGTAAAGATGGCAAGGTACCAGAGGAAACGACCAGCGAGGCCGCAGTAGCGCCCGCTGCTTCTACCGGCGGCGGCGCTACGACCACATCAGCTACCACAACCGCCAGACCGGCGGCATCATCCGACCCCCGCGCCGAGGAATCCGGCACGCTAAGACAGAGAGTCATGTCCGGCATCACGCCCATCCAGCGCAGCTTCTCCAAAATCATTGCCGAGGCGCACAGGCAGGATTTCGAAAAGAGGAGGAAGCCCGTCGACGCGGAGACGGAGCAGCTCGAAGAGGCGGGCGGGATGGCGAGCGATGACGACGACGAAGGGTCTGCTTCTGACGATGATGAGGAGGGGATCCGGTCGGGCGGGTCGGAGGCGGATTCAATGGAGATTCGGCAGGTGAACAGTCTTGTGCGCGATCGTGGGGGACGGTCGATCCATCATAATTAGGAGTTGGTATAGGGTCTCGGCGTAGGGTCTGCTTACGGCTAAATGAGTAGATTTTGGAGCATTATTAATTCGCATTAGCATTCTTGTCAGGATAACAGGAGGAACAGAAACAGTCTTTCAGAAATGGCTGCGTGAATATTGACTCGGAACGTATCCAAAATGATGCGTCTAATTTGTGCTGGTACATATTGTATAGATCTACAAGCAATCGTAACTTCGTGCTCCTCTACGGTGACGCCCACGCAGTACGCCACGCTTGAACAACCCCACTGATACCCCCCCGCCTAACAAATATCTAGAGTACTTATATACGTTCACCTCTACTCCGTCCCATCTTGGTATAATCACGAAACAACTACTGCCACTCCGCATCAACCTTTTCAAAGAGATCCAAGAACCCCTTGAAGAACTTGACGCCCAAACCAGGGTCCAACGCACCGGTCGTGGCGCGGATGGAGTGCATACTCAACTGCGGCAATCCCGCATCGGCAGCCCTTACACCCATGGCGGAGCTGAGCATGGGTCCAACAGTGCCGCCGCTGCGGGTATCGTTGCGGATCTGGAACGTCTGCGTCGCGGACCCGCTCAGCTCGCCAACACGCTGGAGGATGGCCGTGGAGACGGCGTCGGTGGTCATGTGGCCGTTGCTGTCGCCGCAGATGGCGATACCAACGTTGAGCTTGGGGATGTGCTCGTCCAGGTACAGGCCCAGGAAGTTGGGGTTTCCTGCGTGGGTCACGTCCGCGGACAAGAGGAAGGAGGAGGCAAAGGTCTGGCCGATAACATTTGAGCCAAAAGCAACGTCGGCGTGTTCGCTCAGGGCCTCAACAGCGCGCTCGATTGTGAGAGGGAGGAAGTTGCCTCGGGCGCCCTGGCGGAGGAGGGATCCGATTTCCTCGTCGTCAAAGAGAGCCACGAGCTTGATTATGCCATCCTTAGGGTCCGAGTCGGCCGCGAGGAGACCGGTGAGGGCGGCCCAGGAGCAAACCTTGTCGTCGATGCGGCCGCCAAAGATGAATTCGCGGTCGAGGCCACCCGTCTGGGCGGGCTGGGAGTCGTAGAGCTCGAGTTCCCAGTTTACGATTTCGGTAGGGGAGGCGAGGCCAAGCTCCTTGGAGACGAGCTTGACGAGCTTGGGGGGCTGGGTGTTGACGAAGGCGCCCTTGGGGCCGAGGGGTTCGACGGGGGTGGCGGAGGCAGCGTCCGGGTCGGAAGAGTCGAGGCCGATGATGGGGACGGCCTGGGTCTCCGGGTTGTTTTGGCCCATCATGCCGACGCCGAAGTGGGGTGCGAGGGTGGGGATGCGGGCGATGGGCCAGTCGAGGCGGACGAGCTTGGTAGACGTCTTGTTGGTCTCGGGATCGCGGACGATAACACGGCCACCGATGGAGAGGTCGCGGTCCCACCAGGTCTGGTTGAGAGCGCCGGCGTAAGGGGCGACGCCGAGCTGGTGATACCCGGCACGGGTGGGCTTGGAGCTGACAGGCTTGAGCTTGGCGGTGAGGGCGTCAATGTGGCCGGCGATCATGGCGACGCCGTTGCCGGGCTTGTAGGACTCGCCGACGGAGAAGGCGATAAGGGCAGAACCATTGCGGGTGGTCCAGTATTTGCCTCCGGGCTGGACCTTGGAGGCCCAGCTTTCGCGGGCGGGAAGCTCAGTAAATCCTGCAGCAGCGAGCTTGTCCTTGAAGTAGGAGACGGCGTGGAAGATTGTGGGGTTCTCGGACAGGAAGTCGACAAAGGGCTGGGTGTAGGCCTCTGGTTTACTGGCGGCAACGGCGCAGAGCTTGCAGGCGGCCGGGTTGGCGGCGCGAACGGTCTGGCGGACCTCGCTGTAGCGGAGGGTGTTCCAGCAGGACTCGCAGACGGGGTTCTGGGAGGCTGGACGACCGTTCATGTCGGCGAGGAGGAAGTGCTTCGAAGCCGGGCCGGGGGCGAGGGTGGTGGTAGTGGAGGCGGACATGGAGGGCGCGGGAGATTGAGAGCGCGAGAGAGCTTCGGCGTGCTCCATTGCTTGGAGGCGGAGAGAGAGGGAAGAGACGCGGGAGCGAAGGGAGTCGGGAGTGTGCTTGGTCATGGCGGGCGAAGCGTGGAGAGGATGTGTTGCTTGAACGGTGGCGTTTGAGTTGGTGATGAGGAAGCGGTTCATTGACCCTCAATGCGATGCGCGCTGCCTGAGGATTGGAATGGGTGAGGTTGCGCGATGCTGTGAAAGGTAGATGCGTGGTTGATGTTGTAGAGAGTAGAAGAATCAAGGTCAGACAGACAAGGTGACAAGGTAGAAAGAGGCGGAGTGGGAATCGTAGAGGTTGGCCGTTGAAGACACCTCAGCTGGAGCTTCCCGTCCGAGTCGGTCACAGGCACAACACGGCAGGCGCAGGAACGAGAGGCACGGGGCAGCTGGAACCGAGCGGATCTGCGACCCGCCGGAAGCTTCGATTGGCTCCGACGAATGAGCCTACGCCGATACGGGCCGACATGTCTGGGGTTTTTGTCTTATCGCCCGCGGTCTCTTACCTAAGCAGGCAGAAGAGGTGCTTATCGCACAGCGTTGGATCCGTTGCCATGGGGCCCAGTGAGGGGGCACGGGGCAGAGCTTGGCCATTTCAAGCAGGTCACTGCGCCGCAGCTGGCGGGTAATGTGATTAGCTAAGCCACGATAATGACTCTGCGCAATTTGGGTTACAATGGCGTCATTGGACTTCAAGTTCGCAAGGTGATGTACCTTTACGCAGTACTTCAAGGTGGACAATCATGATTGCCCTCGATTCCAGTCACTGAAGCTTCATTAATTTATCTTGAACTAAGGTACCTTACATCACGTAAACACCTGACTGGTAGAGGTGCCGTACCTCGCGTTGAAACAATTGATTGTATGCATTCTGAACAAGTAGCCATCCACTACTACTGATATCATTAGCAATCGCAAGGTGGATGTTTTTTTTACTTGTTTCGTAATCCTTTACTCGTCTTCTTCTCTTGAATGGGTCCCTCCATCTTAAGTCCGTATGGGACAAGGGGAAAGCCATCATCTAGAGGCAGATAGTATCCGAGCAGCGTGTTAACTGCACCTACTCCAGAAATGATCCCGCTATCCAATGAAGCACTGGTTGATGACAAAGTTCATGCTAAAGTAAGGTACCTAAGTAGGTCCCTGGATACTTCCACGTAACCTTTGTTAGACAACATGTATTGCGTGAACAGTAACGCTTAGAGCTGTTGGCATCAGGATGGACATTGATAATCCGGCCCGGCGCCATAGGCCCGGGAGGAATACGAGCCAAGGAAAGGTGTCGGAGGCGATTGGCTCAATGGCACTGAGAAATGCGGGCGGGGGCACCGGCGGCCGGGCGGAGAAGCGGGGCGCGTGGGTATCTCCGGATCGGCCGCTCTGCAGTGTTACTCTTCCTCCGCTTGCACTAACCCGCACTCGTATTCCAAGACGGTCCCTCACGAAGCTCCTTCTAGAAGTCTTTTTACGGGCATGGACGATGAGCTCTTGACGTTCATTCACCTAGACTATACCAGCGGCAGTCATCTCTTACACACCCTACCTTGGAAAGGGTACACACACATACCAAATTCAAACATGATACGTCCCCATTTCCGAATCGGGCAACCCGTAGGAGCTTCGAACCACCAACCCCATTTCCCCGCCACGCTAATAGCTTGCAGGGGCGCTGCGTGTAAGATTCTTGTGATACCTCCGATATTTCCGTACAGAGGGGATCGACGGGTGAGAGAAAGCCACCAAACGCTCGTGGCTTTGTTCGTTTTCCAATCTGACGAACACAACCCCCCCTCGTTTCCTCATTATGGAAGTCTCACTGCTGATAGCTTTGGACGGTGTGAAAACTGTAAGGGCATAGTAGTCCCTTGGACTAGACTACGTGTCTTGCTAGGAAACGATAAAAGGGGCTGCCGTCTCCGGCTCTTGAAGATTCCGAGGACAGACTTACACGAAACTCAACCACAGTTGAAAGCTTTCCTACTCACCATACAAACTTACACAGTTTCAAACTTCCAGAGTCCCATTAGCGACAATGACGACAAAGACAAAGCAGCGAACCCGCGTCCCAGTCCGCACCCTCCCCTCCCACATCCCCGCAGTCCCTCCCCTCGACGGCGAAGAAAACATCAACGCCGCAAAGGAAGCAGCTTCCTTCCTCAACATCTTCTCCTCCGCCATCCGCGAGGGCGATTGGGACGCCTTTGGGAACCTTTTTGCCGAAAAGTGCTTCTGGAGAGACCACTTGACTCTCACCTTTGACAAGCGAACGATCCATACACGGGACGATGTCGTTGCAGCGTGGAAGACTCTCTCCAAAACACGGCGGCCCTTGGCCTTCTCGAGTGACAAGGACAAGGACATGGATATGGACGCCGTATGGGCGCGTCTGGGCCCCGTGTTCGCGACGCTAGACGTGCCGTTCAGTTTCCGTACCGAGGCGCCGGCGTCAAAGTGCATCGGCCTCGCCAAACTCATCCCCGGGCCGGATGACAAAGGCTGGCAGATCTGCGTCCTGACAACAGCCGTAGTCGAACTCGACGAGAAACCCTTTGGCACTCTCCCCCGAACAAGCCCATCCCTAATCGAGCCCTCTCAGCGCGGCAACCCCCACGCACAAGGTCTCCCCCGCCTCGACGGCAACGCAGTTCTGGACGCCGTCGTCGTAGGCGGAAGCTGCACCGGTATCGCCAACGCAATCCAGCTCGACGCCGCGGGCGCAAACGTAGCCGTCTTCGACGCCGAGCCTCAGGCGGGCGGGAACTGGTCGACGAAGCGGTACGAGAACGTCACGCTCCACCATCCCGCTTTCATGATCCAGCTGCCGCGGTTCCCGGTGCCCGAGGGGTATCCCAAATACCTCAAGGGTACGGATCTCACGCGGTACTTTTCGTCGGCGGTTGAGGAGCTCGGGTTGCCTTTCTTCGGCGGGGTTGCTGTGACGAAGAACACCTGGAGCGAAGAGGAGAAGGTCTGGACGGTGGAGGTCAGGGACGTGAAGACGGGGGAGGAGATGACGCTCAAGGCGAAGAATCTACTCCTTGCCAACGGCTTCCTCGTCGGCAACGATAACCCCCGCGTCCCGAAGCTGAAAGGCACGGAACTCTTCACGGGACCGGTGCAGCATACGTCAGAGTACCGCAACCCGGCAGACTACAAAGGCAAGCGCGTCCTCATAGTCGGGGTAGGTAACTCGGCGCACGATGTCGCAGGCAACCTCGCTTCAGACCCGGACGTCAAAAGCGTTACGATCCTCCAGCGCAGCCCGACGGTGCTCCTCGACTTCGCGACGGTGGCGCCGATCCTTATGATGCGGTACCAGGGCGACATACCCGTCGACACGGCGGATTTCCTGCAGGAGTCGCTGCCGGTCGGGATGATGCGGGACATGGCGCGCGGGGCGATCGGGATGGCGATCGCGGGGCGGAGGATAGGAGTCTGGCGCTCGAGGGGCTGGGGTACGCTGTTGAGCGGGAGACGTGTTTGATGACCAAGGTGTTTGAGGAGCGAGGCAGCTCGTTCTACGTTGACCAGCCGGGGACGTTTGATCTCGTGTTTGGGGGGCGGATTCATATTGCGAGGGGCGATGCTGTTGGGTTCGTGGAGGAGGGTGTCGTGGTGAGGGATAGGGAGACGGGGAACGAGAGGGTTGTTGAGGCGGATGGGGTGGTGCTGGCGACTGGGTATGAGGTTGTGGATTTGCCTGCCAGGTGGAAGAGGAGTGGGTTCGTTGACGAAGAGACGGCGGGCAAGTTGGTGAATGTGAGTGCTTTTGGGGTGGATGAGGAGGGCGAGGTTCCTGGGCTTACAACGTTTTCTGGCCGTGAGTATCTTTGCTTCTCTTTCTGGTGTTGGTGTCAAAAGATCACGGTGCTAACTTGAGTTTGAACAGATTCGAATCTCTACTTTGCCGGCATGGCCATTTCTCAGTGCCGAACCAGCGTAAGTCCTCACTCACGGAGGAACACTAGCGATATGATGATCTTGGCTGACTTTGTTATTTGTAGTCCAGATACACGGCCGTTCAGGTGCTAGCTGATATCATTGGACAATTTCCGGAGAGATATAATCGCAGCTACTTGAAGTGAGGCTCAGCGCTCAATTCTGCGGCTTCTGACCGACGGAGAATATCCCTAGAACATGAGAAATCCCGGGATTTGCGATGATGCTGTATGCGATATTGTCAATAGAATCATTGATGAAACTTTACTCACAGTTGTGAATTTGAGATGTGATATGAAGGCCACTTGGGGGCCAGAGTTGGGCAGACTTTATTGTTAAGCAACAACTTCCCCTCACCTTGTGACTGGTTCAAACGTGTCAACCTTTCACCTCACTACACTCTGGTTTTGGGAGTCAGTTTGCAAGCCTACACTCCAGAAACATCAAGGAAAATGGCTGCAAAATCGCTGCCAAAAGTCGAGCGGACGACCATCGCGGGGTCGATCGAGATACCCCGCATCCTAAACGGCCTCTGGCAACTCGCCGGCGGGCACGACCAGGATATTAACGTCGCGGCAGCAGCAGACGCGATGAAGCCCTTGTACGACATGCATCCTAAAATTCAACTGTACGGAAGCTTACTGACATCCTTTGGCAGAATCCAAGCTGGCCTCGATGGCTTCGACATGGCAGACCACTACGGCCCCGCAGAGCTCGTCATCGGCCACCACAACCACAATGACAACTATACTTTACCCCCCATCACGGCCTTTACAAAATGGTGTCCCGCTGAGACAGGCGACAGGTCCTTCAAGACAGCAGAGGCAGCCGTCGATCTCGCCCTCACAAGAATGGGCCAGAACCAGATCGCGCTGATGCAGTACCATGTTTGGGACTACACCGACGACACGTACCTCTACAACCTATCTCACCTGCGCACCCTCCAACGACGGGGCAAAATTGCACATATAGGACTCACCAACGTCGACGCGGCGCATTTAGAGCTTCTCCTTCACTCTGGCCACGAAATCGCCACGAACCAGGTCTCGTGCTCCGTTATCGATCGCCGGTTGACGAGGGGCCGGCTGGCGGGGGTTTGTGAGCGGCACGGGGTTGGTGTCTTGACGTATGGGACATTACTTGGAGGCTTTCTGAGCGAGAAGTGGGTTGGCAAGCCGGAGCCTAAGGATGACGGGCAGGGGATGAATTGGAGTCTGAGAAAGTATCTTCGCTTCATACACGCCGCCGGAGGCTGGGACGCCTTTCAGCGTGCTTTGGGCGCCGTTGCCGATATCGCGAAGAAGCATGGCGTTTCTGTTGCGGCGGTGGCGGTGAGGTGGGTGCTTGATATACCTGTCGTGAAAGCAGTCATCATCGGGGGGAGGTTGACTTCCGAGAGCGGGAAGTACGCCGAGGCGAATCTCGCGGCGTTTGGGTTCTCACTGGATGAAGAAGACAGGAGAAAGATTGAGGCTGCGCAGGAAGGGTTGGAGGATATACCGGGTGATTGCGGTGACGAGTACAGGAGGCCACCGTTCTTGACGGCTTCGGGGGATTTGAGCCATCATCACCTTCCGAGGAAGAGCGAGCTGGACGAGGTGGAAAAGGCTATTGCTAGGGGGGAGAGGGTTGAATTCCGCTCTGGCGGGAAGTGGGAGCCCGTTGCTGGGTACGCGCGTGCCGTGAGATTTGGGAGCGTGATACGGGTGTCTGGGACGACGGCGAACCCGCCACCTGAGCTCCAGCCTGGGCTTGCTGCGGTGGTTGGAGGAGTTTCTGCTCGGGCTCAGGCGGTGGCAGCGCTGGATATTATCGAAGGAAGCCTTAAGCGGTTGGGAGGGAGCATGGCGGATGTGGTGCGGACGAGGGTGATGCTCCGGCGGGAAGAGGATGTTTTGGAGGTATCAGAGGCCCATGGATGGGCTTTCAAGTGTCATGGGATTCGGCCGGCTAACACTACGATCACGGCTGGGCTGATTGGGGATGAGGTGCTTGTGGAAATCGAAGTTGAGGCGGAGGTGGGTAGTGGCAAGTCTGTCTTGGTGATTGGAGAGGATCGTAGAGCTCTTTGAGAATGCCTACAAGATATCCGTCCACGTACGGTTTATACTTCACAGGATGATCGTATTGGCACACCTTACTAATAGTCACTAGCCGGAGCCATTCTTGTGTCAAAAATGACTTATGCAAACATGATAGAAGGTCAAGAATCAAAAAATGAAAGGGACGAGACTCGAACTCGCGCGGGTTGCCCCACCAGGAAACAGATGTTAAGCTGACCTTAACCTGGCGCCATAACCAACTCGGCCACCCTTCCGTAAGATGATCAGGTGATCTTGGATGTCAGACGGACGAAAATCAGGAGAAGAGAATCATTCCTGGAATCTGTAATGGTCCCCGTTTGTGCGCAGATCTTCGAGTGCCCGCGTAAAGAAAAGAAGCTGCCGACTGGCCGTGGCGGGGCAAAGCCGAAAAGAAAAGAAAATTTCGACGGGGCTGAGTGGGTCCTCGACCGGACCGAAGCGAGAAGCCAATGAGACCAATGCCCTGGGTACGTACACAAAGGGGGGGCGGGTCGGGGGGTCGGAGGCTGCAGGGACCGACGATGACGTTCGTTCCCTGTCACCTTCGCTTTCTCTCTTTTTCTCGTCAGTCTTCCTTTTCGCAGTCCACTTTGATTGAATGAATGGACCATCGGCCAATTCAATTCGACAATTGAGAGGACTACTAGTTCGAGAATGCGATCGATACAGACCAAATTCAACATGCCAGGTCTTCAAAAGAGTCTGGGCTGCTTCGGCCGTCAATCACGCACCTCGGCCACCAAGGAACCTCCCTGTTCCCCGCCGTGATGGAGTCTTAAGGTGGTCGCATCTTTTTTTGGGTATGGGAACCAAACTGATCGCGATCGAGATAGCGATAAGACGTTGGCGATTTTTGAACGACGAGACGTTTTAGTCCAGCGAGTCTATGCGCGCCTTAGAAGCTTGAGAGTAATACCTGACCGAGATTAATAAGAACCCAACGTTCATGCGCCGCCCCAAAAGGAACCACACACGCCACAACACGTCAATCGCGGATAGCAACTAGAGCACCGCCAAGAAATATTCTTCATTCGATGGATACATAGACTCTGCGGGAAAAGGAACCGGAGCCGCCGTTACTCACGTCCCACTCGTTCCTACGTGCCTTGATCATCTCGGTCTCGGGATGGCCGCAAATGGGAAGAAGCTTCGTCCACAGAGTACACACTACACAGTATACAGAGAGCAGCAGCGCGATGAACCAACGCCAGAGCTTTTTCCAGCTTCGCCTCATTTCTGTCTGCTAATCCGTTTTGGCTGACCGAGGCAAGAAATTTCTAGCGCACAAAGCTCCAGCTCGCACGACTCAACACACCTGTGGTATCCGTACCTTACCTAAAGTACGAACAGATGGATGACGTTTCCCCCTCGGGCAAGTGGCCACAAGACCATCTCGGTCCAGAGTGCGTGATTGGCTCCGGAGAGACGAAAGCAGCCTTTTTGTCGGGTTTCTCTGCTTTGCTAGTTGCCTTTCTCCACTGGCCTCTTCCTAGAGGTTCAAGGGAGGGGGTGTTCGTGCCGTCTCTCATATTCAAAAGGAGGTCTGTCCGCTGTCTGACTTGTTAGCTCACACTTACCTTGGAAGTTGAAATGACTTCTGCAACTTTTCTGCAAGGAACATTACGGCATTGAAATCAACAACAGACAAGTTTTGGAGCACCAGCTTACCAAGGACCTTGTTGACTTTGGAGTGAGGCTGGCTGCCAACAGGGAACACTGCTCCGAGCTAATTGTCATCGGGTTTCGAAATCCCATCGGGACACTGCGCTTCTGTCGACTAATTCGCTCTGCTTCCGCTCTCCCACCTTGCTTGACTTTCAATCCTTTGGCTGCCACGGCCATAAGTTCCAACTTTTTATTCGTCGCCTCGTTACAGATACATCGTCTGGTGCTTGCTTAGCTGCAAAAACTCAATACACGACGGAATACATTAGTGCTATACAAGCTCCCGCCGGATATTGCCGAAGCTTCATCTGTTTCCGACGAAGTACGGCTACAGCAATCCCATCTCGATCGATCCCTAAAGAATACGCCGGTTCCCACCCCTATTATAATATCCCTGCTATCGGCCTGCTGTTCGTACACGCTGTCAACGGTCTAGACGAATACATCTGAGCACCTCAGCTGACGACGGCTTGCATTGATCACCGCATTGAAAGACGGGACCAACTTGCATCGACGGAAACATTGGTTTAAAACACCATCGCGACACACGCATATCCGACCGCGAAAAGCTTGTAAGAGCTTGCAAGAGGGCACACAGCAACACAGGAACACAGGACCAGCAATAACTTTGTCGGACTCAACGTGAAACTCTCTTCTCTTTCAACCCTTGAACGAACCACTCACCCCGCCGGCGCAATCCCATACGTATGAATACCTTGGTTCTTCACCTAATTACGAATACCCCCGGACTCGATCCCGTGATTTTTCCCCCCTCCCTGCGTCCTAATTCCTCCCAACGTCGGCTTGCGCTTCGATTTATCCCTTGCGTTCACCCACACCTCAGACCGACAGCTCAACGCGCAGAGTGCAACATAACGCACCGCAACGCAACCCAGCGCAAAGCAATCACCATAGCGACAGTCGCATCTCGAAAAGTAATAACCAGAAACACAGAAAGACGACACCGCAACAGTCATGTCGCCTGCCGCGCAAGCGCCACCGACGGCCGCCGAAAAGGTCGCATCCTTCTTCTCCCGCATGAGTCCCGTGCCGTCCTTCCCCGACTACACCGGCCCGCACAAGGTCGGCACCGTCGACATTGAGATCCCCGTCTCCGAGTTGGAGTCGCCCAGTCCGACCCCCTACAGCGCAACAGACATCCACACCGTCCAGTGCCGCGTCTTCTACCCCGCGGTTCCCGATTCCAACGGCAAGCGCATCAACTGGCTGCCGTCGCCCCAACGGCAACATGTCTCTGCCTACACCCAGTTCATTGGCATCCGGCCCATGCTCGCAGACATTGTCTCGTATGTACCCCCTCTTCCTCGAACGCTCCTCTAGTGCCTGCGCAAAAGGTGCTGTACTGACTTGTGCCTACAGATTCCTCCCGCGACATC